ACAGACAGTGAAGAAAGCTTCGCCTTTGTTTGGTCTGTCTGTTTGTTTGCTGCCCCCAAGCAGATGGCATCATCCACAGGAAGTGAATCAGCTTGGCTCTCACAGCACAGAGGCTCCCACTAAATTAAAAGGATCATCTCCAAAGCTCCCTGCTTACATGCCAAACCCCCTGGATGTCTGGAGTTATGATATATATGCTATATACACACTCGCATGCATTTATTTAATATATTTTGATGGCCACAATAAGGTGAAGAAAACACATTTTACTCTTTAATCATATTTAATCTGATTAAGTACTTGCCAATTCAACTATATTTAAGTCCTAGTAAGGAACACACCACTTCCTGCTTTTAGAATTCTGTTCCCTGTAGGCAATTTGTCATGATTTTAAAGGCAGACTTTTTTTTTAATTGGTAGGGATTTTCAAACTGTACAGATTCCTAAGTGCATATAAACAGAAATTTTACCATTTGATGTCTATATATGTGGGCTGTAACTGTATCTAACAACTGAGAGAAATGAGAAAGTACCAGCAATGAAATTCCCATTTAAAAAATGTCATTCTAATAAGCTGCTTTGATTTGGCTCGTATTGATGTTGTGAGACAATACAGAAATCATAAGAAAAAAATGCCAGCAGCTTGTGCTCTGAACTTAGCATTCTGCTCATTTCCAGATTACAAATTTGCCTCAAATAATTGCACAACACTATTTTATAAAAACAAAGCCCATCGCTCTCAGAAAAAAAGGGCACAAACCTGTAACTGGGACAGTAACCTAAGGTACAAAAGCTAAAATGTACATCACTGTACCTTTTTACTCCTAAATGGTACATATTAGTACCTTCAAGGTACATATTAGCACTTTATTCGTACATATTAGTACCTTTTGAAAAAAGTACCACCATAGTTTTGCACCTTTTTCCTGAGAGTGCAGTGTTTGTTAGAAGGAGTATAGACCTAGGAATCCATATTTCAATACAAAGCTACCCAGTGTATTTTAACTTCCAACATATACTGTACTGTGCATGTCCTCATGAAACACAGAGCTCAAAAGATGTTAATCAAGTTAAATGTCACCTGATGATCTCATAAATGTCCCCCGCACAGTCTATTTTGTTAGCATTTCATTCTGCGCTCAGAGGCAGCCATTGAGGTAAATATTGCATAATGCAGAATGCCTGTCCCTCAGCTCAATAATAAGATGCTATGCTACATTACCTCTCAAACCTCCTTTCTGTAGGTGTCAGTTCTCTTGGGGAAGAGGCACATTTACTCTCCATTTATTTCAGTATGAGAGGGGCCATAGGAAACTGCCCTGAGAGGAGTGCTCATAAAATCCATACGCATTCCTATGCATCTTAGATGGAAAGCGACAACCAAGCTATTTTTGCAAGACCACCCCTTAATTCTACACAACCCCAGTCCAATGTTGCTATATTGTGAGGTATGCTCTTTTGTTTTGGGGTTAACTGTTTTTAAGCCAAGGACCCTCAGTGGACAGAAAGACGGAGCAGATGGTGTTGTATTGTACAAAACTAAATATTGCAGTTGAAATCAAACCATAAAATACCATGCAAATTGTACGAGATTATATATGTACATATTTTTTATGATGCTTATAATAACTATAACCATTATTGATGTACCTGTACTTGTATATTACGTAATGTTACTGAATATGTATACATTAATGTAGCATTTAGCTGAATTTTAACTTCTTTAAATATAAATGTTAATATGTTTACTGCATACTTAACTTTTTATGTAAAAAAAGGGATCAAACAGAAATTAGAAGGTAAAAATATGACGAAAACGATGTACAGAGCTGCACATATGGCATGCAGGAAAAAACAGACAGACAGACGGATAGACAGACGAATAGCCAGACAGACAGATAGATAGATAGATAGATAGATAGATAGATAGATAGATAGATAGATAGATAGATAGATAGATAGATAGATAGCTTCTTGTAAAAGTTGAATCCAGGTACGAGAGTATATCTTAGTTGATCAAAGAAGGGTTTAAGGGCCAGTAATGTACAATTAACTTGACAAATGTCTAAAAAAAAAAACAGCTGTCATCTCTTCAGAAACAAGAACATCATGTGCTCGCCTTGTGGCTCACCGCTTGCATCGCCTGAGTGTTGTGAGTTAATGTTTTGCCCAGAACAAAAATGAGAACAAAACAAAAATCAATCTCTCTCACACTCTCTGTTCAATTCAAACTTCAAGGGAGGGAAAAGAAAAAAAAAAGAAAGAAAAAGAGTCAAGCAATTTGTCACTGAAGCATGTCTTTGTATTTCCTGATAAAGAACACTGCTCAAGACAAAAGGCAGGAGCATATTGAACAGAATGAAGAGCACTGAAATTAACCATATCGTTTCATTAAAACCCTAAGAAGCCGTTCCTCACTGAGCTTGTAGTCTCTCTGCAATACTCTTCAGCGATACAGGGATAATTTTGGCTGTAAGGTCATTCTACTCATAACTCATGTCAAAACATTCACTGCACATGAGGGGTCATACTCCACTGACCAATATAAGAAATAGGACGATGTGCTTGGAAAGCTCCAAGACTGTCCTCACAATATGTTTTTCTTCATTACAGGAAAGTGGGCTGTCTCCCAGCTTCCCTGATAACCCACGATGTCGGGCTGGTCCCATAGGGAAGCTGGATGGGCAGCCTATCAAGGTCCCTGCTGGCCATGTGGCACTGAAAATGTGCAGCTGCCCTTCCCTGGAGGCCCTGGGAATATGGTGATTACATTTCTCTGTGGTGGCAGAACTTGGCCACACCAACGCTAGGAATATGCACAGTCCAGAAACTGGAACAGCAAAAACAATAACTATAAGATGAAAACCAAGGACTTAATATCAGGTAACAGCTAGGCTCAGAAATTAAAATCACTCCAGGTGAATCTTATTATAAAACTAAGAGGATTAAGAGTTGAACATTATAATATGAAGCGACTGGAGACATGTATACGAGCCGAGAGGCGAGAGCTTCTACAATATCGCTTTCTTATTAGACTCAGTTACATGAGAACAAGTAGACAGTCGTTTAAGGTGTTCTCAAGCTAGTCTTACTTGAGGAATATCAGTAGCGACATAGTATAATATAAACACTGTGAGTGATACAATAGTATGGGACGTAGGCTACTTGCCAATTACAACAGTTTTCATCAGTTTTCATCAACTTTGAAGCAATAAGATGCTTCAAAATTTCAATTACTTTGAAGATTGGTCTGAGTATTAACCAATGAATAAGAATGCCAGCTCAGTGTCTCAGAACGATGACTTTAAATAAATGTAGTTCTTTCTATGAAGAGTCAAAATTAATGAACTGTCTTCGCCTAAAAAAGGTGAGGATAAATTAAAGCAGTTAGAGCACAGAGTGGGGTAAGCTGTGCCACTTTTTACTTAAGATAACCTCTAGTCAAGGAGAAAGAAGATAGAGGTGAAATTAATGCATCTAATTACATTTCAATGTCTGCTATCAACTGAAATTAGAAGAAAGTGTCCAGAACGCAGGACCATAGAAAAATGACTTAATAATAATTAAAAAAGGGGGATTGAGGGGGTTAAATTGAATCAAATAAGACCATAATGAGATATAAAATAAAATAAAATAAAAATCCCATTTTACTATCCCACTTTAGAGTCTTAACTAATTATAATATATTCATAAAGGTTTAATATTATTCACAGGGGGAAAAAAGACTCTTGCTAAAAAAGCATACAAAAGATCCATTATTAGACTGAAGAAACTTATATTTTCTTATTTCACATTCCAACAACCAAAGCCGCGGGGAAATATGAAATACGTCCTACTGTAGTAGTTGTCCAGACTTTGTGTGGCTGAGGTAGCTTCTTCAGTGTGGGAACCAAACTCTTGATTGTTTTCCTTGAAAGGTGGATTTTTTCTTTGCCAGCACTCCCTCAGATTTGTGGAAAAGAACTTGGCTACCACTTTAACAAGAGCAACGTTTTTCCAAAGTATTTCCTGGATTTAAATGCAAAGCTTATTATCAACATCAGTTGAGTTACTGGCACTGCTTACCCTGAAGCAGATGACACACTTTACCCCACAGCTACCATTTTTGGAAAATGTTTTGTTTAATCATTTAATAGATAATCTTTAGCCAAACAATTTATATGGTTTTAAGATTGGCAAAAATATATTTTAGACCTGGATCGTTTTTATTTTACTTGCCAAGTAGAAAATTTACATTGACATTGGGTTTTTTTCTAATGTGCATCTTTCAGTCCTTGGCAGCTCTATATGATTAGGACTGTCTAACTACATAGATAAATACATTACATGATTAAAAAAAAACTCCACTATCGTAAGCAACACGGTAACCTCAGGGTGCCCAATACGCACAAATACATGAATAAAATTACCCATGCCAGTGGAGTGCTGTTGGTACACTCATGCGATAGCAGTCTGTGTTGGCTTACAAACACATTAAATTGCACTGCACATTTTGTTGTGAAAAGCTGATTGAAATGCATTTCCTATCGATACATTATCTATGGTAATGAGCTCCTCAAAATTCCCATGATAAATACGCCTGGAATCCATTCTAAGACATTATAAATAAAACAGAGCGAACATGAGTAATCTAAATGATAATAGAATACCAGTGATGAGAATAGTTGACCCACTGTACCTGGAATCTGTAATAAATTAAGCTCTTCTAGAAATCTCCTGCATCTGCATGAAGCAATTGGGCACAAGGTTTTAACATAAACTGATCGATCTTTTCATGAATACAATTAAATATTAAAATCAGGACACTTTCATCTCTTTAAAATTCTTAGCTATCATTCCCAACACTTTGCATGTGAAGTGCAACCTGGAATTAAATCAAGTGAGGGACAATAATGTGCAGGTTGATGCTGATTATTTGGTGCATAGAGATATGGGAATGCAGAGATGTTGACATAATGATCTGTTTTGTGGCATTGTGGGTTGGTGTAATGGTTACTTACATTTGTCCAGAACCTCATCAGAACCATCTGGACAGTCTGGTTCCCCATCACAAAGCCAGCTCTCGGACACACAGGTCAGCTGGTCACCGCACAGAAACTCTCCAACGTCACACAAAATGGGCTCTAATGAAAGAGGGGGGTGAAGACAGAGATGGAGTATGGAATGAGGTGCAGTACAGTTATTAAATGTCTAAATTACATGATTGTCTAATAAATATAATGATAAGTAAGTATATGTGAAATGCGTGAACTCACAATGATTTATTATAGTGACATGAATTTGATGACAATTAATTTTACTGAACAGTCAGACAGGAATAATCAGTATTTAAGGGCAATTTCAGTTTCAGAAACATCAGCACATCATTTTTCCATTCTCTGTTGTCAGTACAACTGCCCTGCAGTGACGTCCAATGATATTTACAAGAAAAACACAACCATAAGACTATCAGAATATCAAGCAGCCGTGATAATCCTTCAGGTATTACTCAGAACTGGGCCACACATTTCCCTTCTAAATTCCTGAAGCTACACGACTTATGAACATATCAAAATGATTATGATCCAAAATGCTCCAATTCCGAAATGTTGAGGCAGGAATGCAAGTGATAATGCTATGCACCACTGCTCTCTGTCCTTGCTATGCCCCACCACCACATTACTACACACTCACATACACACACACACCACACACACACACACACACACACACACACACACACACACACACACACACACACACACACACACACACAATCACACAATC